CGACCAGCACAGTCGCTGTGTAGGCTATGACGAGGAGCCTCCAGTTGATTTCGAGGGGCATGGATGGGTATAGCTTCACAGAGAAGATAAGTTCTCCCCGGTTAGCACATCAGGGACCAAGATTCTTGCGGAAACCTCGAGAGAATCCAACACAAGATTGAAGGGAGGGATCAGAACCGCACAAAGCCAAACTCCCGAAGGCTGCGCCCGACGCCTCTTCATTCCACTACAGCGGCGCGGAACCACAAGTTGTATACGAGCCCATATCCAAGTTTCCCGCACTCCTAGGGTTTGTCGTGACCAGGTAGGGGGTTCAGTACGACAATCGTCACGCGCCACGAAATTATGTCGTGTTACTATTATCATGACCAACACAAAACACGTCGACGTCAAGCGATTGAATTTGATGCAACAAGGAGACTTCACATAACCGATTGTGGTTGAGCCAAGGGCTTCACCATTAATTAGCACTAATTGACTTTATACTTTAACCACCAATCGCCATCTCCTGTGCCACATCATCATCATCCTCGCTGCTCTCCTCAACGTCTTCACCTTGCCGAGCCTCCCAAAGGAGGTACCTGTATTAAATGATGAGTATATTGAAATAGGGAGATCTATCGAATAGCTACGTGATAAATACGGATAGTTTGACGTCAATTAAAAGACAATTAAGACACACAGGGAGGGTGCTACGGCATCCCCCACCGACAGAAGCTCTACTCGGGTAGGGCAGGAGCTGCACGACTGCACGGCCTACGTGTTAACATTGGAGATTAGCCGGTCCTTGACGACGTCCTTCTCGTACTCCTTCATCTCTGTTATCCACTCGTGTCTGAGGAGGAGTGGAAAACACAGCTAGAGGTGTCAGAAAAACGGCCGTCCGGCACTTGAGTAGTTGGGAAGCCGTCATTCGGTCATCAGGGCACTTCTGGAAGCAATGGCCGAGGAAGTCCCGGTAGGTGTCCGAGAACCTGACGCAACCGGCGCTCCTGCCCCTCAAGACCGTCCCTGTGTACTTTGCCATGTCCATAGTGGGAGGAGGGTCCTTCACTATCGTCAGGTAGACCATATGCGGCATCCCTAGGGGGCAATCGGTGATGGCATCACTGAGGGCCACGAGCTTACGTGCAAACTTATCGGCATGCGGTGGATGGCCGAGACAGGCCTCTACGGCAGTGACCCCCAGAGACCATATATCAGCCCTGCAGTCGTAGCCGGCCCGCAGGCCTCCGGGGACCTACGACGGCCCCCTTCTGTGCCTCCTTGAGATGTCTGCCACTCACCTGGCCACTGCCACCGGACTTCTGTGATAATGAATATGATATGATAACCTCGGGGGCCATCCAGAAAGGTGTGCCTAGCACAGGTTACGCCCTCTCCCTGCTTCGTCCACCACTCGTAAGAAGCGAGTCTCATCGTGAAAACCTCGTGACTCGCACTTTCAAGTACGCATAGATCTGTGCCCCGTGATGAGAGCTTCGAATCAAATTTGTTAGGATTATGGCCAGCATCAATCAGTATGTCTATCCAGTCCCATCCAGTCCGAATTCACTAGCGCATGAGACGCTACGGGCATCGGACGCGCTGGCCAGCCACTACCTCCGCGAATGACCCTTCACTATGGTATGATCACAACCCTGATCAGTAGTACTATGTCCCCAGTTGTGCGACATCGCTGAGACGGATGCTGTCCCTATTCCCTATGTCCTAGTGTTACGCTGGCTACGCTGTTAAAAACGTCATAGTAAATTCTAAGTCAGCTTAATAAGTTGTATATTATAACTCACATCGCATCAATAAAATTTTGTCGATTCTAAGCCTGCTATGTCGACTCGACATTGTCGAGCCAACCAAGCGCAAAGTCACAACTGCTGCCTACGGCCTACCGGTGAAGGTGAGGGCCTGTGCCTCCTTCTCCAGCAGTCTGGAGACACCAAAGTCGCAGAGCACCACTCGGCCAGATTTACCTGAACCCACGACTACATCAGCCTCATCACAAAGCAGACATACCGATCATGATATTAGCCGCCTTAATGTCCCTGTGAATAATATGCTTCTCATGGAGGTCCTTGAGCGCCAACAGGATGTTGTAAACGACGTAACTGGTCAAGGCTGGGCCGGTGGATCACCACTGCTAGAGAGCCTACGCGCAGACAGTTTCGTTGAGGAGACTAAATTCTATCAGCTTGTCCAGAGGGACACCGTCAATAAACTCCATGGACATTATCAGGTACCTGACCCAGCCACCTCCCCTTCAGCTGCCACCACCCGCCTATTACTTGACAAAGGACCTCCCACTAGGTACCAGAGGATCGGGCAGGTCCACTCGGAAGGCCTCATAGAACTTGGGACACAGCTTACCCATAGCGCTGCGTGCTTTCGCTACGTACAAACCCACTTGGCGAAGGCGTGAGGGTGAGGACCGCTCACCAGTGAGCTCAATCTCTTTCTCTATGCCCTTCAGCGACTCATTCCCAACGGCGTTGCAATCGACAACCTTCAGGGCCACTTCCGTTTCCGACGACAGATCGGTGCACCTCCACACCTACTCGAGAACAGTGGCAGCCGTGGTGCCGCGAGACTACCAACCTGGCCAAATGCCCCCTCTCCAAGCAGATGATGGAAGAGATAAATTTTGTTATTGTCGTTAGCGGAGCGAAGCTCGAAGCCTGGGACGAATTGGCTATACTGGCCGGGCATTGGAAACGACTCGCTGTCGGCCCTTATTGAGTCACTGCTGCACGACGCACCGGAAGGACCCCTAGAAACGATTCATTTTCGATTAAGAAAGGCTTGGCTGCATAATTGACGACACTGATGCTGCATCGCCGAGAAGCGTGAGTGGACCTGACCGAAGGAGTCCCCGGCGTCCTCTGCCACCAGGCCTACCACTCGACGATGGACTTCCCTGTCCTGCGGGTCTTGTATCGAAGCGTCCAAGCTGGTCTCGAGTTCGGCCTGCTTGTACAGGGCATACCGGCAAGAGGCCATGCAGGAGGCGGACTGTGATGAGATGGCATGGCGACAGCCCCTTCGCGCTCTGGCTCACATCTTTAATCCGTAAATTTGCCTTGGACGGAGGCTGCGGTACTAGTTGCTGTTGCTGGTCTTCCGACTGGCCCCTCCGCACCACTGAGAGTACCACTCCTTCACCTCATCATCAACCCGGGAGTGTACCTTCAGGATGCTCCTTCTCGAACTCCTTGATGTACTCTTTCACAGGCAGCACCTTCGACAGGAAGGGCATCATCAGCGTAGCCGCCGGCCCGTGACCGATGATCAGTCATAATGAAAGGCTCAACTGCCAACAACAACATCAGCATGGTAGGGGGTAATTCCCAAAATCCAAGGAAGCGTTTTCAGGGATCTGTATTACGTGGGCAACAGTTCGGGTTTCTGGTTGCCCTGGGCAACAGTTCCGGGATCGGGTTGTCGTTTTGCCCTTCCCCCTGTCCGCGCAGTAGTAGTACAGAATGGTGGTCACTGCTCGATGCTCCTAGCACTACCCATGTTATATACGAAGCCTTACCGCGGTGACCTCAGTACCCACCAGGGGGACAGAGCCTTCAATCAACCTGCACTTCCAAGTTAGAACAGCTCCAGCTGGGACTGAGGTAAACGAGGACAGGTCGATCCTGGCGGGAGTCGTAGAGGTCCAGCCCCAACTTACTTCTCTCGTCGCCTTGCATGTAATTTTTTCGTGCACTTCTTCGAGCCAAGTCCACTTTCCAACGACCGCGGCGTCTCGGATGCTAAAAGCGTTAATCTCAGTAGTTCTATCATTTTGGCCACTTTCCTCAGCAACCCTTCCATGTTGAAAGTAACAGCTTTTGGAGTAGCCACGGCGGCCATCACAACGTGAGTCACACCCGTCCATTCCGGAACTACCAGGAAGAGACCTCTCCGTCGTCAGGCTCCTTGGTGGCTGCGGCAAACAGGAGGATTTCCCCTACAAGACAGACTCGGCTGAGGTAATAGAGGGGCACTCGAACCGGGAGCCTATGGGCGCCTTGGAGGGTTGTGGGGGATGGGGCTGATACTTGCGTGCCACCGCCAACTCGGCCACACTCAGCTGCCCGTAGGAGTACTCTGTCTACCAGATACTACCACCAGAGGAGGCCGGTAACTCCTGCAAGGTCTTCCTCGGAGACCCCGATACCTACTTGGTCTTCACTCATACCGGCGATGTCCATAAGCTTGTCAGTGGACGCTGTGCCGGGCAGATGGCGACGTTCGGGCCGAGGTTCCTCGACAACCTAGAGCGTCGTGCTGCCACATGCCAAGCTCTCTCGGACTACCTCCACAGTGGTCGCGATCCCCTCCTCAACGGCGTCAAGGTCCTTTGTAATCACGACGGCTCCTCGGCGCCCAGTGCTGCCGCTACTGACGGCAGCGAGTGCGAGGTCGACTTCCTGCCCGGTCATTCGACCATCACTCTCGAATTTGGCGGTGATGGGAACGGTGATGGACCGACGGACAAGTTCGTGGCTCCCGACTTGTCCCATTTGACTCAATTCACCAAAAGAAACGAAGAATCAGATCGACATGGTGGACCTCCCCGCTAAGCTTGGGGGAGTGAGGCTCGACTGTGGGGCTATCAAGGCCTTCGCCGCTGCTATTGGTGGCTTTGGTCGCTACGTCTCTCACATGAATAACGGCGCTAACATCGTGGAGACCTGCAAAGTTATCCCCTCGCTTGACATCATCCCTGCTATCAACGTCAGTATTCCCACGACGCCCGCCCCTGCGGCATGAGCATGCTACGGGGGACGCAATAGTGCTTCATGAATGTGTGATGTGTATTCATTTACCACGGGGAACACGTGTAATGGTAATAGCAGTGTAGAGTTCATCATTATTGAGAGTTGATGGAGACCGAAGAGCAATGAAAGGAAACTATGAGCATCTTAAGCCAGTTGGGGGGACGACGAAGGGGTGTATAGTGGTGAATCGCCGCCAGGTAGGCGTTTAGATCAAAAGTGATAGATTGTCAACACTGCGCCGCCCGGGAATTGAACCCGGATCTTCCGTTTGGCAGACAGAAGTCATAACCTTTAGACCAGCGGCGCCGACGGAAAGCGCGAATCGAGGAGAACGATACCCCGTAGCGCTTATGAAGGGTGTTTCACTGTGGTGTGAGTGACTTTGATCGTGGTCCCACCGGCGAGAAATGAGTGTTTGACGATGAAAATGGGCCGGAGTTTGATAGATCCTCGAGGTGTGCAGCCAGAATTACAACGCGAAAGGACCTCCAAGGAGCCCCTCCCGCTCAGCCGCGATTTTCTGTTCACGGAGGGTCGATTTCAAAGGGTGGGGGTCACGAGGCCGCCATACCTATGCAAGGGGAGCTGGACAGTCAGACAGAAAATCGCTCTCGAATCTTGCTCTCGATTCCTCACTCTGACTCTGACTCAGCTAATCTTTCTCTCGAATCTCGAATCTTACTCACGAGTATAGAATTTGAATCAGTACTCTTGAATAAGGGTGTGAGTCGAATCACGACTCGAAATCACAGGGTGATTTGAATCAAGGTCACAGATTCCGAAATCAGGATCCGCATACGCCCCCAGATAAGTTGCCTGAGATAACACAATGGTCCAATATAGAAGCAGTCAATCTCAATCGATTTTACAATCTCAATGAGCCCTCCACAATTGAATGATAGATCACTTGAGCCTAGCAGTAGACAATATCACGAGGCATTGCGTGTCGAACGACAGCCACGATATTATCCGAGGGTTGTTGGTTGAAAGGTGTGCTCCCCTCATTAGAAATCCGAGAACTGCGTCGACGTTCTATCTGTAACGGCAATCGTCGTGATGTCCGCAGGAAAGTTACATTTGGTAGTCCTGCCTGGCGTTCCTCGCATTGCCGTCGGTGTGGGTCGGGGTTGGGTCGAGCAGCTCGACCCAACCCGACCTACACGCAATGCCTCGACTCGAGCTCAGCTGTCACAACTGAGTTGCAGTCCTCCGCTACCTATTTCCAACGCTTTGCCCAGGTTACTCATAATACGTACTACGTATTAGCGGATTGATATTTCAAAGTGCTATTCTGCAGCGGTGGATAACTTCACCATTTCAAGGTCTTCGCGGACACCACTGCGCGGTTACCTTCTAACAGGTTCCACTGGTGAATCTCCACTGTGCCGATCTCAAGGCAGGAAATCAGGTGAATGAAGACGATAGCATCATCACGACATACGACGGCCTCTTCAGCCTTACTTGTGTCCTTCATCCCGAGACTCTCGGTAACGCAGTATCACTCTTGAAAGGAGCAATTTTAGTCGCTTAAGCATCCACAGAAAGGGAGTAAAAGGGAGTATTGAGAGTTTATCACTGACAGCGGGTAGGAAAAGGTTCACACGGTTAATAAGTCGGTGAGATGATCATGATTACAATCATGTGTCTATGTAGCATACTTTACCATCATCTGTCTTTATCATGTTTGACCAGAGTCCACCGTCGAGGAAGGCCCAGAGCGTCTGCTGCATTCCCACTGGCTCGTTGAAGACAAGCCTATGGCTCCCGCCTGTCACTTGAGGATGGGCCACACGGCGGGGCTTCTTCGGCGAACTAGATGGTGTACCTCTAGAAATGCGAGTCTTTAGCTGCATTGGCATACTTAAGAGCTTGTATATTCCCGAAGGCGCGACCTTTGGCATCCTGAGGGCAAGATGAATATCATGCATGGCACGAGGGCATGGATATTTACTCACCTTAAGAGGCACGGGCGTGACTTGCCCAAGCTTGACGCCATAATTCTCAATCCCGTTCAATTTAAGCAGCCACTCTGTTGTACCCACAGCATTGGTCAGATAGTCTTGGTCACCATTCACGACCAATACCTGTAGTAACGGAGTAAACTACACGAGACAGTTGTTCATTAACTCAATGTGGTCAAGGAGACACGTCACAAAGGCGTATACACACACACTGACTATGGCTATCGGCTAGCGTGAAGTCCAGAGATGCGATAGTTCCGAGTAATCCATCGCGTCTTCCTTCAACAATGAACGACCGTCTGTACCATGAATGGCTATCAGATGAATCACGGTTTCTGTAGCAAAGGCAATCGTCTCAGGAGCTGCTGAAATTCAGCAAATTCGTGAGGACGACCGGTCGAACAATCGCGAGATACAGTCTCACTTTCAGTTTAGAATCAAGAAGTTGTGTAGTATGGTAAATTCCCTCGTAGGCGGTATACTTGTTGAACGCTTGAAAAACCTGAAAACAAGACCACTCACGCCATAGAGTGAACAGCGATGATGAGCACCTGATCATTCGAAGGCTCCCAATGCTTCGATACGCCGAGGTCCTTTTGAACTGCTTGGGTATTGAGGAAACCGTCCGCCTGAGGTGGGCTGCGATGGCTACCACTTGCTGCTGATGATGACGATCCACAACGGCGAGGAAAGGCCCTCCTCACTCTTCCTGGTTGAAAGGCAAAGTGTTGATACTCTTGTCCTGGGCTCACACGGAATAACATGCTAACACCGTGTAGAGCGCTGCTACGGAGGCTGGCCAGCTCGGGTGCTGCCCCCATGGGAGCGTGTCAGTCTTCAGGACCCCGACCAACTCACTCGCTGATGTGGGCTTTCACGAGGGGACCCAACGTAGTAGTCTCGCAGGTCTCTACGGCGGCCTTGCATTGAACTAAAACAGAGTAATTGTGAGGAGAAGAGGAATTGCGATGAGCATACGGGGAAGAGGAGGCTTCCCAGGGCCTTTTGAATTGCACTTCTGAACTTCTTCGTTGCACTTGCCCAGGTCGGAGAGCATGGTGGCGAGTCTAAAAAGATGAACAGCAAACCTTGCTGAGCGAAACGTCTTGAATGGTCTCACTCTGCTTGGGGAAGCAGCTTCCTGTCCTTGGCCATCTTGTAGCTTTCATAGTAGCTGAGAGGACGATGAGCTTACTGACGTCAAGATAGAATGGATCACTGAATGGACACTCACATATCATATGGTCCAACAACGCCAGAGTACATCATCACACCTTTGAGATCGACGCTCGACCCCGGAGACTTCACGATCCGCTCTGCCACCATGGCAACGATCAAAGCTGCGAAGAGATGACGCTTCAGACATGAGCTCTTAGGGCATGCAAGATGTTTTCAAACTCACCCGACGACGAGACGCCGACCAAATGAACATTCGTGTTCAAGTTGGGGAGCTTTTTAAAGAACTGTGTGACGAAGGCCAGCCTGGCGGATTTAACTGGGAGATCCTCATTGGAAGACGGTGTGCCCACATGTTGTTTATGAACTTATTCAAATCAGCTTCGACTGGTCCGACACTGAAACCAGTGGGCCCCAGGCGCATCCACCCAGACGACATTGGCTTGGCGTGTCCACGAGTACCTGAGCTCAACTATAGTGTAGGGCGATGACAGAGTCGACGCACTTACTCATTCGCCATGAGCTTCTTCCCGTCCGGAGTCATCCTACACGGTCCGCTTAGACTCATCGCCGTAGCCATGCTGCTGTCACCAGGACCCCCACCGAAGAACAGAACCGTGGATGGCGTCCCAGGCTTCATATCAGCTTCCAAGGCTGCGTAGGAGTACCGGAAAATCCCGCAGGCTCGAAAGCGTCGAGATGTATTGGGAGAGGCCTACTTGTTCAACGGGCCAACCTGTATGTATCCGTACTCTTGTTTACCGATAGCTTCAGGGCACAAGACACCACCACCACCATTAAGTGAACGATTGTGCGGAAAAGCGAGGGAATCAACTGACAAATCCTTAGTTCATCGGGCGAGTATCGAGGACTGCACTTTCGCTTCGGAGTGGGCGGCTTTCAATGGTCGCCGCCAACGGCACGAGTGTTGATAGCAGAATGAAAAACATGTCGAAGAATGAAGCTGAGCTGGGTAAGACACGAGTGAACACTCGGCGTCAAGTACATACTTTGCCGCAGAAGAGGCGGCAAGGTGGGCAATCACCGAATCAAGCAACGACCTTGGTCAATACGGCAATTAACACGGGTGAGCAGTCCTACACTGTCCGCGGTGCTAGAGGACAAGATCATCGTGAGATTATGCTATTACGATGTTAATGAAAACTTGGTACCAATTTATGCCGATTAAAGCAAAGGAGAGGGTTTACCGAAGATCCGCTGGTCCGAGTTTTCGGTAATCATACGACCGTCGACTAACACACGTTCAGCGCGCAAAGCGCTATTAAATGAGTAGACATTGGCATACCCGCAAGTCGACTCTTGTGGCCGTTGCGAGGCGCAGGAGGCCTGAACTGTCGAGTATGACCTGTGCCGGCCATCCGTTGTCATCGAAGTGATGTTACCCACTACAGCGCAATCGATTGTGTAACATGGTCACCACTGATGTATCACCATTCAGTGCAGGACAACTCGCACGCATTATCTTGCACGTGATACTCGCGAATGAACTATATTTTCATCCTTCTCGAGTGAGCCAGCGAGAAGGGTGTAGAGGATAAGGGTTGCAATTTGTCAAAGAGAATGCCGCCGGCCCCACGACGATCCCGAGATCCCCGATTGGCGAACCTAGCATGAGATGAGTTTGACAATCCGCGGAGGGTGTTTTTTGACAACGGGACATTGTCCCGTTCGATAGCAGTGAAACTCTCACCGCCGAAGGGTCACCGGGAGAGGACTATCAGAGTGCCGCTGCAGGCGACTGCCCCTCAGATCCACAGCTGCGGCAGCCGAAGGAATGGCCCATGTCATGGAGAGCGATAGACGAGCCGCGCGTATCAGACGGTTTGACAGTGGTGGTAGCAGCGACGCCGCGTGCTACGGAGACCAAAGGGCTGGTGAGAAGTGAAGAGCGATCCGTTGACGGTGTCTTGCTACCTACAACTGGTATTACTCAAGCGGATTACCTCACATACCTCCAGTCGGGACACTGACAACTAGGGGCCCTAGTCTAGGGCCCGGATGATGTAACGTGCGTACGTATGGTAGGCAAGGGTAGTGCGCCTCTACGCTCTGCCGTATGTACACTTCTTACACGCTTGTCTACGCGTAATCGAGCTACTGAGTGTTGCCATCGGCAATGTTTCCTCGTCTTACACAAGACATGTACGA